AAACCATATGAGAAACCTCGAGAACTCATACATGTAATCCCTACAAACCATATGAGAAGACTAGGAGAACTCAATACATGTAATCCCTCAAACAATATGAGAAGACTTCGTAGAACTCAATACATGTAATTCACTTCAAACCATATGAGAATACCTCAGAGAACACAATACATGTCATTCCCTAAAATCCATATGAGAATACCTCGGAAAACTCAATACATGTAATTCCCTACAAACCATATGAGAAGACCATGGAGAACTCAATACATGTAATTCCCTACAAACCATATGAGAAGACCTCGGAGAACTCAATACATGTAATTCCATGCAAACCATAGGAGGATACCAAGAAGAACTCAATACATGTAATTCATGCAAACCGTACGAGAAGACCTCAGAGAACTCAATACATGTAATTCCCTACAAACCATATGTGAAGACCTCGGAGAACTCATTAGATGTCATTCCCTACAAACCATATGAGATGACCTCGGAGAACTCAATACATGTAATTCCATGCAAACCATATGAGAATACCTCAGTGAACTCAATACATGTAATTCCATGCAAACCATATGAGAATACCTCAGAGAACTCAATACATGTAATTCCATGCAAACCATATGAGAATACCTTGAGAACACAATACATGTAATTCCCTACAAACCATATGAGAATACCTCGGAGAACTTAATACATGTAATTCCATGCAAACCATATGAGAAGACCTCAGAGAACTCAATACATGCATGTAATTCCCTACAAATCATATGAGAAGACCTCAGAGCACTCAATACATACAATTCCCTTCAAACCATATGAGAAGACTTTGTAGAACTCAATACATGTAATTCCCTACAAACCATATGAGAAGACCTCAGAGAACTCAATACATGTAATTCCCTTCAAACCATATGAGAATACCTCGGAGAACTCATTAGATGTAATTCCCTACAAACTATATGAGAATACCTCGAAGAACTCAATATATGTAATTCCCTTCAAACCATATGAGAAGACCTCGGGAAAACACAATACATGTAATTCCCTACAAATCATATGAGAAGACCTCAGAGAACTCAATACATGTAATTCCCTTCAAACCATATGAGAAGACCTCGGAGAACTCAATACATGCAATTCCCTTCAAACCATATGAAAAGACCTCAGAGAACTCAATACATGTAATTCCCTTCAAACCATATGAGAATACCTCGGAGAACTCATTAGATGTAATTCCCTACAAACCATATGAGATGACCTCGGAGAACTCAATACATGCAATTCCATGCAAACCATATGAGAAGACCTCAGAGAACTCAATACATGTAATTCCCTTCAAACCATATGAGAAGACCTCGGAGAACTCAATACATGTAATTCCCTACAAACCATATGAGAAGACTCGCATTGTCTTCATTTATTAAATAAAGGCATTCAACCAAATCTATAATAGTAATTTGGGTGTTATAGAAACTGACTGCCACCACCAATATCATAGTACAAACCCAGATTGTTCAACCAAAGAGCCAGTATCAATTGCTATCACATACGATGCATCTGGCTGTGGTTTATACACAGATCTCAATTATGTCGATAATTTTAGAGAAAATCCTCTAAAACGTGTTTAATTATTGCATGTTAGAATTTCTTGAGAAATTAACGGATTTGTACTGAGTGATATAGCAAGGAAAATTATCATAGAAATAGTAAATTTAACAATTGAGAAGGAAGAAAGATTTTGTATCCTCACTGCGCAACATGACATACATGGCATCTTTCTGGCCAACAAATGTGGATGCAACAACTTGTTTTATGGTATGTCCAGTGTGCTTCTGACTCTACATGTATCCCTATTTAGGCCCGTTGTCATCAAAGATGACATAGCCCAATAATTTTAATACTTGATATGGATGTACCTTGAGCGAGCCTCTGTCAGATTTATTTACTGCATGAAGATATCTATTTTTAGAAAATATTTGTTTCCATTATTGGTAAAAAATTAGATTTCTTCTTGAAAACTATAAGCTCAATTGCTTTGATACTTTCTATGTAATTACCATGGGTGGACCGCTGTGAGATTTGAATACATCATCTTTCTACTGTCTATGGTATCACAAACTAATTGTGATTTCATAATATCCATCCATAATTGGATGTACCGTAAAAACTCAAAAATGTTTAGAGTCCAAAAAAACGATGAATTTTCGGCCAGTCGAATGTTTTTAGAGTGAAAATTAAACAAATATAAAAGTTGCAGAATAGAATAGTTATAGAACGTCACGTATCTAAAAAAATCTTTTTAGTAAAAATAAGTGAGCAATTTCTGGTGAGGTCAAAATTTTAGAGGCCAATAAATTACAAAAATTCGCCAAACAACTAGGCGGCTGAATTTTAGAATTTTACGGTGTCACCATTCTAGTATGGATAAAATCACATACAAACTCAGGAATTCATAATAGGATTTCAATGTATAAACTTTCTAGTGTCTATGATATTACATACAAACTTATTGCGATTTCATATGATTTGGATACATGACCTTTCTAGTGTCTATGATATTACATACAAATTGTGAATTTCTAATTGAATTTAACAATTTGAGTGTATGTCTATGATAGGATTTGAATGTATCAACTTTCCAATGTGTACGATATCACATACAAACTTATTGTGATTTGAATGGAACGTCTTTCTAGTGCCTATGGTATCACATAGAAACTTATTGTGATTTCATATGATTTGGATGTACCATCTTACTAGTGTCCATGCGTGGTTTCACATACAAACGCATACATACATTCAAAATAAAACCAAAAATGTCTGTTGCTTAGCCAGTTTTATCAAATCATGAAACAAACAAAAATAGAGAAAAACCCAAATGACATCAAATCATGAAACAAAATCACTTGCCACCAAATTTCATGTTAATACAAAGTCTGAATGATATAAAATTGGTCAAGACGTGTAGAAAATGTTTTTTTGGGATTTTTATGCGACAGAAATGACTACCAGTTGGTTAAGGAAATGACCAACTAATAAACTCAAGTCTGTGTACTGACATACACATGGTAGACAGGTAATTGTTGCAGGTGTACAAGTCTGCACTTTCAAACAAAGACTACAAACAAGTTCAACAGTCCAATTAGGCCCAAACTTGGTTCAAAGACAATCGTGTTCTAGCACATCAACAAAAGCTTGATTTGTATTACAATCCAATCAAATATGGTTGACTGTCAGCCATTTTTTTGTCTTTTCACACAATTCTGCTTATATCCAGATTCTCGCTGCTTGGTCAGGTTTGAACTTAGTGCACAGACAATTGTATTCTAGTACATCAATGAAAGATAATCCTACCCATGGTGGTCGACTATCAGCCATTCTAGTACATCAATGAAAGATAATCCTACCCATGGTGGTTGACTATCAGCCATTCTGTTTAATAAAAAGTTTTCATCTATTTTTGCTGAATTCTGCTTGTATCTCAAATTCTTACTGCCCAGGCAATTTGGTACACAGGCGAATGTGTTTTAGCACATCAATGAAATTTTTTTTAATTAATTAAAATGCACTTTTTTTGGACATGCTTAGGCTGATTTGTTTTAAACTTGGTACTTGTATGATGGTTTTATATGTTGGGTGCCTAATGTATGTCCCACGAACATTTTGTTTCATGGTTGTGCACATCTGAATCCTTCTTCAGACATGCTTTGGTTGTTGAATGCACTTGATCAAAAAGGAGCAAATAAATGCCGACATTTCTCATATTATAGGAAAGAACAGAAGGGGCTGTGGCATTCTCAACGACTTGTTTTGAAACATATTTTACAATGTGTGATCAGAATGTCAAATTTACCTCAAAGTCTGGCAAGAGACATTTTTTTTTATTTGAGAGGCTAAAAATGCTGTGAATCATTGGGAATATAATCACTTTACAAGCCATTATCACCAGCAGCTACTAATGTGCACATTTCTTTTTTTTCCATTAAATTACTACTCAATTTGTACTTGTGCAATTTGAAGAAAAGAAAAAAGTGATGCATACATCACAGACTGGTGTACTTGTGTCTTTTACTGACCAATATCTGTTAGTACAAACCAAATAGGATTGTGGGTAATCACAGACACTGTCATGATATGTTTATATGATTGGCAGTTTATAACAGAGCTTCAATTTATATGTTTCTCCAGTACACAAATTTGAATACTGGTGAGGTGGGATGTAAACTGGAAATCAGGTCTTTACATTGCCTTGTATCACCAGCATTTGTACAATCTATCTGACACAAGAAGAAGTACATTTAAATTTTTTATTTGAACAAGAACAGTGAAACAAACTTGATAACATGTGATCAAACATGAAAATTTTGAATTTTAGTTGGGTGTGTTTTGCTAAGAAACTGAAATGAAATATAAATAATACATATATATTTAACATACAGTGATCCACGAGACTATGATGCTACAAAATTCAGGCAGTATTTTATTCCATAATGTCATAAATAATACAGATATTAATGACAGAACTGTTTATCTGCATAGGGAGGTTTCTGTGGAATCTGTTACAACTCTGCATCCTGTCATTTAAGGTCATCATCGCCATAAACATTTGGTCTGGTAGAAGCACACAAGATTTAAGTAAATGTAAGACTGGTTTGCCTCTTGAGTTTGACAAACTGAATAGGATTACATATGAACATAAACTATCCTCGTTTAAATGTATCAGAAGTGTTTGTTAGTGCATAAACTCATCAAGATGGGATTCTAATAGATCAAATTACTGCAGGATTGTCAGAGTTGTGTGAAGGGCCATGATACAACTATGAGGAATGATCTTCCATTACTAAAGAATAGAAAGTCTCTTCTCCATCACAATATGGGGATCTCCAGCTATTTCTGAATCACCAGGAGCTGAAAGAGAATATTATAATATACTGTGAGTAAAATGAAAATTGTACATCATTAATTCTCTCCTTATCTGAGGCTAATTTTGTACATGAATACTATTTATCTACACAGATTCAGCATGTTACAGGTGGCTTTGCATGACAGAATGCAGTGAGTCACTTAGTAGAAACACTGAGAACAATAGGAGTGCATGGGGCACAAACTGACAGGAGACTTAACCTCAATATTATACACATGCAAGGCTGGACTAAGTGGACAGTTTGCTTTTTATTGGTGGTTGCTATTAACTGCCTTGCTATGCTTAGGCTCAATGTTCAATTAGAGAAAAACAATCTAGATATCTAAGAAGCAACACCAAAAAGCTACACTATTCTAGATTAAGGGTAGTGTAGTTCCCATGCATTTTCTCCCTGCATGTTCAAAATTTGTGTAAACAAACAATGTCTGATTGTGTACATTGTTATGGGTTCCATATCGCACATGTTGTGGTACTGTAAAAGCATTAATTGTTTTCAATTTTGCTATTTTCGCTGACAAGTAAAATCCCCTAAATTAATCTAAAATAACACTAGAAATCTCTGTTTCCAAGCCAAATTTGTGAACCCAGTGAAGCATTAAAATAGCGAAATTAAATGCCAGTGAAAATAAATGGTTTTACAGCACTTTCTCTTAAAAGTTAATAAAAAAAAAACCATACCATTTAATATATCTTCAAAATCAATTGTTTCATCTCTACCAATCAAAGTATTGTAAGCTATGTTAGAACTTGGTAGGAATGGTAACCTCTGAATCTGATGGAGACAAGAATCATACACAATTAGATACATTGTATGGCAGTATGTGCAGATCCCAATTCATGTAATAGATGTGTTTCAAGTTCTCAGGTGGTTAAATTACTGAGTGTGCGATAAGAGGATTGATTTTATATAAGCCAGTTGTTCGTGGCAAATAACACCGAATAAACGGCAAGGTAAAGACTATGTCTAATTATAGTAAATACGTACTGCGTGCGTGACTCGAACCGGCGCTCGCGTACGGCACCAAATCGCCTAGCTTCATGCCACTACACGTCTTCCCCTCGGCTACCGGGCATCCCCAAAAAAGGATGCTTAATAACCGAGCTTATTACGTGCAGAGAGCATGAAACCCGTCCACGCGATACGCGCCACACAGTTTGTTGCATTTTTATACATTTCTTTTACTGTTACCCCTCAGAGGTGATTTGTAATCTACGAATGGAAACTATTTATGGAAAATATTTTGTAAACTTTGAAAAGCAATTTGGATGCCCACAATACAAAATAAACATCTTTGGCACAAAAATGATCAGCATCTTAGCTAATGTATGGAATTGCATTTTTTTTGCTTGTGAGATTACTTTGTTCTGTACCGTAATTGTCCGGGTAAGCGGCTATGCCCGGGCAAAGGCCAACCCCTCAACTTTGATACAATAAAGAAATTGAGATCATGTCATGAAGTTTCGTAATTTTTACTGTGTCAATTCGTAAATAATTATTGTTTGTGTATGCCAGTTGAATCGGTATTTGTCAAAATCGGAAATAATTTTACGCATTTTGACATTTTAGTTCATTTTGAGTTCATGCGTATTGGCTATGTTTGCGGCGGGCAACTGTTGATTTTTATTATTCCTGGTTTATTTGTCACATTAAAGCAATAAATTATTTTTGTTATACTTCTAATGTTACATATTGTTCTTTTATTTCCATTGTATGTTTTCATTTGCCATTCCCTGCCGCAGTTCGATCTGTCAATTTTCGCAAAATTTTGTTTTTTGCAGGGGATGTCCGGGCATATGGCCACCCCTATTTTTTGGCAATTTTCCATTTTCAGGACCCTGGGCGCTTACCTGGACAACTACAGTAGTTTATTTGTTCTATTAGAAACACATTTTTAATAGTACATGCAAATGAATAATTGCATTTATTGTATACAGAATCATTCAAATTATTTGTATCACAGATACATCTCTGGCATTCTTGGCATTTTGGTGTAGAGCAGTGAAAATGACCTAGAATAAGATTTGCACACTCCGACTCACACTCTGCAGTCATAATTTTCAAATTATTTAGATCAGGTTCTTAAAATGCTGCAAATCTGCAAATCTATTATTGTTGTACTTATACCTGGCAGGTAACATATTGTTATTCTTTCAAAGTGTACTTCTGATATTTAAATGATTAGTACCAATAGTGTTACCAATCAAAAAGGTTTTAGAGTAATTAACAACCATGTGTGATTGTGTTTGTCATAATTATCATCTATTTATGGTGTCAGTAATGGAACAATATTTGAGCTAAAATCATCATAGTGGCTAATACCACATTGTTTACCTCAATCAATTTTCAATCCTTTTCAGCCACATAATATATGGAAAGAAAATAACATGAAATATCATGATAATTTTTTATATTTCCAAAACCAAATTAAAGTTTTCCTGATATATATGATCATTTTGTTTTAAAATGATATTTCATACATTAGATGGCCTTAGCATGTTGCTTACAAATAAGTGACTTACATGAGCCATTGCATTTTTAGCTTGCCTTGTTAGCATTACTTTGGACTTGATTCCCGCGTTTTCGAAACTTAGCATCATATCACTTGATACCAATGGCTGCTTCAAAAACAATTAGTGTTACTAAGAAGTACTAATAATCTATACACCTGTTTCTGTAATGTCAAGATGCTAATAACCGCCTTACCTGTTTTGTAGCATTTCTTTCCATTTGTAATCGAAGTGGTGCATGCAGACCTTGAGTATTTCTCAGCATAGAGTATTCCCGCTGTGTCTCATTTGAACCAAACTGTAATGAGGAACATACATACCTGGCATTATACAAAAAGAAATATCCACATCTAATGCCATTTTAAGTTCTTATTTGGATAAAACTGACAGGGAAGAGATATTAGATTATTGGTGACGCATGGTGACAAATATGGAGTCCAAAACAAAAGTTAAGAATATATACTGCATACATATTTTGTGAAAAACTGATTATTGGAAAAAAAAACCAAAACCATCTTTTGCAGTTACATTACATTTTCTAAATGATGGTATCATGAGACATGTCCAATAGATTTGTTGAGGCATTACAGCAAGCCAGGAAATATAGTGATGTAAAATGAATGAATCTATCATATCATATCATTAATAAATATATCACTATATTGATCAAGTCAATGACAAAGCCTTCACATAAACGGTCAGGAATAAAATGACATATTTTGACTTGAAATGATATCTTTGATATACTGATTGTGAAAATATGTAATGTACATTTGTATTGCACATTACCTATATGTGAAATTTGAATGGAATTGGTCAATGCATTGCTGAGAACATGTTAAAACATCATTTCCACCTGTCCAGGTACTGTTTGCACACAAGTATAGTATGAACACCCCAACATTTACCTCGTGTGTGTTTATATAGTACCACAAGAGTCATTTTGGGTTCAGTACTGGCTTATACCCCCTTGCTTATAGTAGGGCACACTATTAAATTCAATAAATGAAGCACACATTACGCCCAAGCACATTACTTTTCCAATGTGTGTATATGGGGCAGGTGATGAGTTACGGTGAATCTCTTCAAAGGTTGTCATGTTTGTCGTGGTGCTGAAACACATCCAATAATAATCTGATGAATACTCTTATTATATTCAGAACATTCTATCAGTTACACCATAATGGTGAGCACTGCTTTCATAGCAACAGTTAACAACTAGACAGTGAGAAGTATTATTCAACCAGACTCAACTCTTACAGAGCAATATTCAATAAATAAATGTTCAATTTAATAATTAACTTTTGAGCAGCTGCCATCTCTTGGTATCAAGAGTTCCTTTGTGTTTCAATGAATACTGCCATCTATTGGTAACTAAAGTCACAAATTTATTTATGGTGGTACGAGGGCGCTATTTGCTGAACTTGATAATTAGATAAGGTTGAAAAACTATGTTGGCAGAAACAATAAACAGTTGTGAATAGCTCCTTTTCAACCTGCATGTACATTGACCAGAAACAAATCATTTATTATTTTTGACTAACAGTGTCTGTTGTGGTGTATAATCATGTGTGATTTATACTGTCATACTATACAATTATCAAGGGGAAACCCTGACAAATGTACACAGCAGACTGTGGCATCACTTCTGAGGAGTGACAGCCTGGAAGTCAGTGGAGGGGGGGGGGGGGGTGACATAGGTTTGTGCTAGAAAACTGAAAACTAAATCTAAAAATTAGAATATCAAATTAGGACAGATGCAAAGTTTAGAATAGAATTTATGTTAATTTTGGACTACAATGTAATTAACATTTTTATGTTGAGATGTCAACAACAAAAAACTAAACCAGGATTTCAACATTTAATAGAACATTTTATCTATGCCTAAATGTCTGTTTATATGTTCACATGTATAAGACCAAATTGCATCTGATGGCAAAACAGGTGTTTACATGATCAGATTTATCTGATCAGATGAAATTGAACATGTCAAATTTTTACATGGTCAGATGTATCAAAACAAATTAATCTGATCAGATAAACAGGATCGTGTAAACTGGCCCTAAAAGCCACAAGCTTAAATCGTGACAAAGAACAATCAAGAACACATTAGACTCAAGTGGCAGTGTCTTAAATTAACAAACATAGCCCCAACTTTACTTGACAGGGATTAAACACATCTGAACTCAGCACGCTTAATAATGTAAACAAAAACAAATAAAAAGGATAGAAATAGAGTTTACTTACATGGGATTCAGAAAACTCCAAAGGATGCGAAGGAGTCAGGTCACTTCTCACTTGACCTAATCTAAAAAACAAAGGAGTTTACAGTGTCAATCAAAGTCAATGCTGTAACCTCTGTAGACCAGTCCAATTGCGTTGGGTGTGAATGGTACCTCAAAGTGGTTGGTTCATATACATGCATGGTGAATACAACCTACATACTGTTAAGGCAGAATGCTATACAGAAGTAAAAATATTGTCATTTTTTCATTTTTATATTTTTTGATTTTTCATGTCACGAGGATGAAAAAAATGGAATAAAAGTATGATGTACCAAATGGAGTGAAAAAAAAGCATGCTTTGTCTGTTTTAGGACCATTTTTACCATTGTTTCCTATGGAATGGATATACATGTATCTCAAAATTATGTTCTGTGACATATTGTGAAAAAGATAGTGTCCTATTTAAAAATAAAATATAAAATTATTGTTAGTGGGTTTTTATAAGGAAATGTGATTTCATTGTGTAAACTGCTGCTAAAATGGAATTTTTTTTTCAAAAACAGATTGACAGTGAACCCAAAAAAGTATTGTTGATTAATAATGCTAGAATGATTGATAATCAGAGACAGATTTTGACATCAAATATTGTTACTGCTAAAATATGCACACATGGGTTGCATTCTACTATAATAGTAAAATATTTAGATCAATGTTTTGGGGTACCTTGAGATTTGTATAAAACGGTAAACTAGTTCCATATGCTATTTTTTGTATTTGAATCTCTGTCATAAATCATTTTCTTCACTCAACACCAGGGCACTCTGCTCCAAAAATCATGTTTTTTTAGAGGATGGGTGCAGCACCCACCTGGACAATTAGGAGTGAGTATTGCATTTTGGAGAAAATAAAATTTCGCCATCATTTATTTACACAATTACACTTTTACAAATATGAATCTGAAACAAAATATGTACATTACAATATTATTTACATATCATCAGAATTTAACATGTAAAGATTATTAGGGTCTGTGGAGGAAAATGGTCTAAATCAAGAGCTTCATCATTATCTTCATTGAATATTTTAGATTGTATGAACACTAATGCAAAGAAATTTCTGCCACAAAGTTTTATTGCACTATTTGACCAGCAACAACACCCTCTGACATGACAGATCAATTCTCTTATTACATCATTAGAATGCTGTATTGTACTGATGCAATTTTCCAGGAATTCACAAATATTGATGATGGAATTTTTCACAAGTAAATTACCAATCATCTGTTGGAACTGCTTTTGACGAAAATACAATATTTTTTTTTTTTTTAAATTCTGGTGATACACAATTTTTAAAAGGCAAGCCATTTTTGCAAAGTGGAGCATTCAACAGCATGACAGAAACGAACGGCACACCGCAGGAATTAAGAACACCTACAAGTATGAGGGAGGGGTGAACTTGTTCCAGAATTAAGTCACCCAACAAAGCTTTCGACAGATACATGACTTTTTTCTTCATTTAATCATTACAATGCAAAACACAAAATGTATACACTAGTCACATACACACTATTGTGAATGAGCATCTGACAGAAAAGCCATTAGTCTAATGATGTGCACTACTAGCTCAACAACCTGTTGGCCCCAGTAACAAACATTACCATAGTATTGTACAAATAATATATTAGTAGATGATGTATCATGCAGTGTGATATACATACACTTATAGTGGAACAATTTGGTTTGAAAAGTAATACAACTCAAAGGCAATTAAATGGTACTTCTAGTGAGAGATCTAACTGGCAAACTGGACTTTTGATTTAACTGCTGGGATAAATGTTAACACATTGCAAAAGATAAGTTTTATACCATATGTTATGGGGCATCACTTATTCCATATGTTAAGAGACTTTGACAAGCACAGTATTCCAATACCTAGTAAATCAAGGGTTGAAATTAGAAATCAAAATTGCCTGCCCAATTGACGATGAACCTTTCTTGAACAAGATAAATTACGTTTTTTTTAAATTAAAAATTTCATTCTTGGTTTATCATGTTTATTTCATGTTGGTAGGTTTTTATAAAATCTGGAAGCCATTTTTGTTATTATTAGCAACTTAGCACTCCAATTGACCAGTTAGTAAAAACTATTAATTTATATATTAAAAATCTGGTTTGACCCGTTGACCAGTTAAATATTCTTGTACGTACTCAGAGAACATTATATACTAAGCAAGTATCATTGTAAAGGCTGTTACTTTAATACATTTCCATGAATTAAATTATCAAAACATGCTTACTCTACCATCCTAGTAAAATTCAACACTGACGAACAACAAAATTTGTCGTTTTAACTCTCATGGAAATATTAATGCTTGTTAACATTGTGCAGCTTCTGAAGATGGGAAATCATGTCATACTTGTGCAATATTTTTGAAAATGTTCAATTTTTCACAAAATGTGATAGCAAGTCTTGACACCATACACATTGATTTTTGACGGCTCTTTGTGAAAGTGTCAAATGAAGAAGTCTTTTAATCAATGATGTTGCGATTCATTTAAGGTAGAAGCCTTGTACTCCAGAGCAATATAAGGATATTAACATAAAAAAAGTTTGGGTCACCAGCCTAATTTTTGAGAAAATGATGGTTGTATTTAAGTTGATAGTGGCCATTTTGGCAGTATTATAATGTATTTTCCTATGGCAGAGATATTATGTGACATGTCAAATTGTAGGCTGGTGACAAATGCTGAAAAAAATCATATTATGAGGTTATTACATCAAAGTATGTATAACGACAGTACAGCGAAATTATCGACAAACGCGTAGCGGAGGTCGATGCGATGGCGTACTGTCTGAGTACTGTTTTCCTTCCATCCATACATCATGCGAATGCCGAAATTTAAAAAAGTTTGAAACAGAATCAGCGAATGCTATTTGAATAGCGCTGCGATTTTACATATTACTATTGTTTCAGTCATTCTTTGAACGATTATGTTTAACTAAATATTGCTACACTACAGCAAGTTATTATCAACATTGTCGGTAAATATACAGCAACTGCTTCCAATGTTGTTGAAGTTGTTTTGCTACAATAAAGTTTGTTTTGATACATTTGCGACGCACCCAGACTTCTAGTCGCCCTCATTGGACCCACAACGCATTTCAACTCGGACCTGATCGGACTGACAGTCATGCCGGAATACTTATAGAGTTTGTTTATTATCGGGATACAAGAATTATACCAATATATATATATCACAAGCTGAGTTTCATAGTGATGACTTTGATTACAACAGTTTTATCGACCGCCTAACTAGCGAGATACCATTTTTACGGCAAATGAACGCACTTCGCATTCAAATTATGGACGAAGAAAATCAGAAATTGGATTTAGCGACAAACCATTGATTCAAACAGTTGGTCATCGACAATCTTCGTTCAACTACACCAGGAGGCATAATTAAGGCAAAACTATTCATTCTGAATGGGTCATCACCTATGATGAAACAGAATGAAAATCAACCGTGTGAACCGACTGGCGGCTTATCTACTGAAGCCGGTAAAAAATCAAAGCGAATAAAACTAGACTTTCACTTGGACACACGGTTGCTAGATCCGCTATGGACTCAGACACTTTTTGCATATATTATACGCAGTAGATTTTGTCACACCAACCCTTTTCACTATGCCAGCAAAAGATATTCCTTCCAAATACAGCACAACTATCTTTTCGCGAATCGCAGGTGGAGTCGGGAATCCCTGTTTACTGCGCTGTGAATGTGACAGTCAGCGAGTGCATGATTGGACAGTGGAGCGGCGACTTGAAGTCTGGGTGTGTCGCGAATGTATCAAAACAAACTTGATTGTAGCAAAACAACTTCAACAACATTGGAATCAATTGCTGTACATTTACCGACAATGTTGATAATAACTTGCTGTAGTGTAGCAATATTTAGTTAAACATAATCCTTCAAAGAATGACTGAAACGATAGTTAACCAATGAAAATTGTCGCGCAATTTATGACCAATTATCTTCCAAAATTATGAGTAGGTTTCAACCTTAATTCACAACATAGTCGCCGCAATATTGATTTTTGACCCCACTGTATGCAAATTCCGAACAGTTTGAATTATGCGAATAACATATTTGCAGCACCCTTGCACAACAGAATCGAACATTTAAAGAAAAAAATTTGTGATCCTTGTATATGCACATGCAACAATTTCTGCTCGTAAATTCTAATACCGATACTATGATTTTCATGATGTCAAGAGTCAAAATCATTAAAGAGAATTAGTGCTCGCTGCAGTAACTGATGTAATTTAAGATGTACATGTTTGGCAGACGATAAGCTAGGATGGTAGGAAAATATGAGCCATTCATACAAATCCTGGATCACATTGCCGGATTTTAAGCATGAAAAATCATGTGAGATGACTACCTAGCACTAACATTTGTTTTTTTTACAACCATTGCACTTAGACCTTAAAATATTACAATGGCTAAAGGTGTTATTGGCCTTAGCTACCATAAAATGTTCTGTTAATTTTGAGGTCTGGAGGAGAACACTGGTCGTAATGCCCTTGAAAAAAAAGCCCCCACTGAGACACCTTTATTAGTTCAATATAAGGGGCATGTGACATTGCATGGAACAAAGTTGCTCATGGCGCTTAAAGTGACATACGGGCAAAGGTCTGCAGGGATAGATAACAACCCCACAACATTTATTATATTTCAATATTAGTTGCTACAGGACATGGGGTGGAACAAATAGAAACAGTGTGCAGTTCAAATCTCTGTAGCAGGACCACTCAATAATAACAATGATCTAAATATTGCTAACCACACTATCACCAACTTTGAAATCTAGCACTTGAAACATGAGCATCTCACGACTAATCTGATTGTATCAACAGGTCTTTAGCTTTTAGTTTTATTTGCAGTAAGCATCATATGGTGATCTCGTAAAATGTTCAACTACTTACTCTTTCTTTGAGATATCACATCTGTTTTTACTTGCACACACACACAAACATACCCAACTAGTAGTTCAGCAAAGGTTTGTTCTCATCAGCATTTTA